GGTCCATTCGGCAATTTTTTCTTCAGAGGATTCACAGTCGTATTTCAGAATCAACTGTGTAAAGAAGTACAAGAATGGATAGTGAGCATACACATAAGCCATACATAAAAAATTAGGATAATTAGAAAACCATTCCTAGGCTTTGGTCCAATTACAAGAAAAAACTCATGAGGTTATTGAAAACTGAAAAACTAACATCCTGAGGTTTTGTTTTGTCGTACATTTTCATAAGGAAAACAGAGATTTCAGAAATGGAGTAAAGTTTATAGATATAATAAGTTAACTCCTTACATGTAACAAGCTACAAAAAATTAAAACCTGAAATAGGTTATGTACCCATCAAAAGCTCTGTTTTCTTTTGATGTAGTCCAAACCTCAACGTGGTTCTTATAATTAATCACAGAAAAAATAAATGCACCAACAAAAGGACAAAAATAAAATAAAATAAAATATGAATTAATAGATGCAATGTTTGGAGCTTGAGCAAGAATTAATTGGACATTTTACAAAACAATATAGAAGAAGAAGTTTCTTGTGTGATTGGCTATCAAACTCAAGTAGCGCACTTCGGATAAAATATAAACGGTCAGTATTTTACCAACAAATTAGCAAGCAAAATGGTAGATTCGTCTGCATCATGCATGCCATGTAATTCTTTTGTGAGCCCGAAAATATCATATACAATTTTCTCCAACTTTGATGCTGCAGTGTTAAACCCCTTTAGCATATGGTACAGAGAACTTCCATGGCATTAAAAAAACAAACTGCTGAAAAAATGCATACTCAAACCATCTAAAGTCTATGCCAAGAAAAAGGATGAAGAAAAGAACATAAAAAGGTATTTGATTGTCTGAAGAACATGTAAGAAAGCCCCATATAATAACACCATAACAATACTTATCCATACTCTCAATCTGTTATAAATTACCTTTCCATAAAGTCAAATATATATATATATTTGTGGGGATTTGGTGAGGTCACACACAATTGAAGCGCGCACCCTTATGAAATGGTGAGTCTAATCGGCACCTAACGAGTTTCCATGCCAAACCAACTTCAATAATAGGAGTAGCTCACTAGGGTTCTAAAATTGGCTCTTCTTTAATTAATCAATGTGGTGCAACTTATAAGTGACGAGGTCTAAACACAAATTACAAATTATCAGAAAAAATGAAGCCGCCCCACCATTAAAAAAAAACTTTCGAAAAACTTTCCACAAAGCCTACAAGGAGCACGTAGCCAAGAAAAGAGTAGTTCGATATCTTATAAACCTGAAAACCTAACAGGTGAACAATGGCAATCAAACTCCATTCAGTAATCAAACAAAAGAGAAATGTTTAGAGATACTTCATTGCAGCATGCAGTCAACATGAATGTCAAAACAAGCTTGCAGCCATTTCACCTCATATAGTCATATTTAAACATACAAAAACAAACACTATAGAACTTTCTTTTCCACTACCCAGGAAATAATATCTGCAACAAAATTACTTCTGTTTATCAATTACACCACCATATCTATCTAACATATTGTTCCAATGAGATAGAATAACAAAGAAAAAAAAATCCAATTCGCTGAGAAAGAGTTACCACTGGAGTATACACATTCATAGAATGGCGATGAGGAGAAGTAATCGAAAACTAGGTTTCGATCGTGTGGATCTGTGTTGAGCCATAGCTGGTCCCGGAAGCTGATACCAGTCGAGTCGGTTCCAGGAGGCGGTGGATCCGCCGCAGGTGCCGCAGGGGCGCCGTGTTCGTGCCGGCGGGAATCATCGGGACTTCGAAGTAAAGTTCCGTATAGTGTGACCTAAAAAGTGAGAAAACAAAATTTGGGGGAGAAGTTTTGGAACTATGAAGTGGTCCAAGTAAATTATGAGACTTCCAAATAGCTCCTCCAAGTGTTGGGCTGTTGCCAAAATAAGTCAAACTGAGTGTTGGGTAATTAGGCCTAACTAAATAGTTTTGGAGCCCAAGTCCAGTTCATTCGTGCAAAACTATTTGACAGCCCAATTAGCTAGCACCGGGCCACAAATGCGGGCCATAACGGTTTACACCAGTATACAAATGTAACATTGGAATTTTCGTGTGCTAATTTTAATAAAACGAAAATATTCAAAATACTAGACTATTAGTTTAAGTTTTAACACTCTTCATTGACCAATTTTTTATAATATACAATACAATATAGTTGGAAATCTTAATAGTCAAATACCTTAAAATGATAGTTAGTTCAAAAGATAGACCCAGTCATTACAGGCCAAATATTACGGTTTTGATTAAAAGGATTATCATTTATCAAACACAAGTCGCAACAAACATTTGACAACCAAAATTAAGTAGTTTGAAGGATAACATTTTGACATTTTAAAAGTGTGTGCAAGTAGCCACATCTGACCACGTTTCCTATCTAGTTGAATTTGAATTCAAT